ATATATATATATATATATATATATATATATATATATATATATGTGTGTGTGTGTGTGTAAGTTAACATCTTTTATCTATTAGAACTTTTTTATCTAGTGGACATAAAATATTTAAATTATGAAAGGATATTTGGCATCATATAAACAGAAAGAAGAAAGTTACATTAATGCTTTTAGACATGATAATCAAACAAAAACATGACTATTTACCTATCGACACTTTCTTTTAGAAAAAAAATGTTATTTAAAGGTTAATTTAATTTTGAAATAAAAAGGTCAAGTATCTACACTCCAAAATGATTTTTAAGTACTGATAATCGATTATCAAACATTGTAATTGATTACACCATATTGAACTTGTACAAGAAATACGGTTTCACTTGTAACTGATTACACTCTTTCCGTAATTGATTATCAATCGTGTAAATAGCAAAAATTCTCTTCTAATCGATTCCAACAAAATTGTAATCAATTACTAAAAACTTCGATAAATCTTACGTTTTTATTACGTCATACTTTTTGTGACACTGTAACAATGATGCAAAAACACTTATCATAAAAAAAATTAATTTTACTTGTCACAAAAAATTATTTTTTACTAGTGAGTAAAACTAAGTGGAAACCGTAAAGGAATTATAAAAGTTTTCTTGAATTAATGATTTTCAAAAGTAATGATTTAAATATATGTTTTATTATTTTTTTATGATTATCTATAACATTTATTTAATAATTTAAAGAATTAAAATTTATATTAATGAAACAATAACTTTTTTATTAATAAGTTAATTAAAATATATATAATTGTTATCGAAGTTATTATTTTAATGAAATAACGTCAGATTTTTATAAAAGTAATTTTTGTGTGAATTATTCAATCAAAATTTTCATAATACTTTTTCTCATAAAAAAATAAGCATTAAATTCAAAGAGAAAATTTGTTGAAAAATATTAATGATTTTATATAAAAAAAGTAAATGCATTAATTATTCAATTAATTTTATCGGTTATTTAAAAATAAAATGAAATATTAGGATGAAGAGTATTTCATTTCACTTATTTTTAGAACAGAGGAATCCTTATTCTTTTTCTATATATAGATACATCATCGAGTCATTTTTGTTATATGAGAAAAGAATGATGAATACATTGTTTTTCATATTGTGCTTGTGTTTGGTAATTAGTCATCATGTTGATGGTATTCAAAACATATTCAATGAAGATTTGGAGTTTGAGAGAAAATCACAACTAAGTGATAAGTCTCCACTCAAGACTATTCATGTATTTCATAATCTTCTTAAATCTTTTCATATAATTTTCTTTAACTTCATATTATGTTACTAATTTTATTATTTTTATTTTGGACTGTATAGACAGAGTTTGGAGACATCGTTGATTGCATTGACATTTATAAACAACCAGCCTTCGACCATCTTTTACTAAAGAACCATAAGTTGCAGGTAAATAATAAAAGACATTTAATTATGGGTTAAATATGTTTTTAGTCCCTAAACTATTGGCCGGGTTTTAGTTCCTCTTTCAAAGGTACAATTTGGTTCTCATTCTTTTCGAAACTCTAGTTTTAGTCCTTGAAACTTTGGTTTTAGTCATCGAAAACTAACCTCGAAAACTACCACATTTTTAACGGTGTTAGTTTTCGATGACTAAAACCAAAATTTTGAAAAGAATGAGGACCAAATTGTACCTTATTTTGAAAGATGGACAAAAACCAGAAACGACCAATAGTTTAGGGACTAAAAACATATTTAATCCTTTAATTATATACAAAATGAGAAGCTTTAAAATATTTCATTGCTTTGGTTTTAAGTTTTAATCTTTCTTTCATTTTATTTTTATTCTAAACTTCATTTTTTTATTTATTTTGCAGCTAAGGCCCAACTTTGAAAATTTAATTGAAAAAGCAAGTGTGAATAATTCACAAATTGGATCTATATTTGGGTTTCACAAAGAAAAATGTCCAGAAGGAACGGTTCCTATACAAAGAACAAAATATGATTTTACTAAAAATAATTTATTATTAAATAATCATACATTGGTCCAAGACATCCCTGGAGTTCATGTAAGATATCTTATGCAATGTTGGTTTTTTATTTTTATAAATTATATTTGAAGTAGATTAATTTTTTTAATATATTGAATTTTATAGGTTGCAGAAATATCTATTCCAAAAAATTATGCTCCTTTGTATAAAGTTAGCGGAATAAATAGCCTTTATAATCCAAGAGTGAGTGGAAAAGGTCAAAGCTCTATATCTCATATATGGGTTGAAAATGGACCTCTAGAATCTACCAACAAAATAGCTGCTGGATGGCATGTGAGTTATAATGATTACATTTATGATTTCTTTGCCAATTTAAGTTATTTGATTTATATTTTAAATATCAATAAAAAAATTAAATATTTTTAATTGTGTTTTTATTAAAGATTTGTATTCTATTGAGTGTTTAAAATATTTTTTGTTTTTGTTTAATACCTGTTTTATTTAAAATAATAGTTTTATTTTTATTAAATTTATGAGATATTTAAAAATTAATTGAGATTATTATTTTTTATCTATCAATCTATAAATTTTAAAATATACTTATTTTTCCTTCTTATTATGTTCATACATTTACTATGTTAGATGTAAAGAAAAATAAATAAAACAAGAACAATATAATTATTGTATTATAGTGAAGAAAATTTATCATATAGTGAATTTCAAAACATAGATAAAACAGAACATAAAATATTTTCTAATCGATCTCATTCTTTGATATCAGGTGGACCCAGCAATATATGGTGATACAAAGACCCATTTTTTTGCAGCATGGACGGTAACAAGAGATGCCATTATATTTTTATGTAATTATATAAATGAAACATGTGTCTTTTCACATTTTTTTTCTAAGACTACTGGATGTTTTTGCTTTGCAAAAAACACTTGATATGAGATTATAATTAAGCTTTTTAAATAAAAAATGAATTTATTTATTTGCTACATGTAATTATTCATTTTCTTTTTGTGCTACACACATTCCATTTCTTTAAATTTAAAACAATGTTAAAAAATTGCAGAGTGATAATTTTAAGAAGACAGGATGCTACAATGTTCAGTGTCGAGGTTTTGTTCAGATTGATAAAAAGAATTTCCTTGGGGGATATTTCCCCAAGGTAGGTACCTATGGTGGACCAACTTATGAGGTTCTCATCTCTATTACTCAGGTAAAAGTTATGCAATTAAATTTCACTTTAATTGAAATTAAATTATGTATTATTAATATTCATTTTATTTTTTTAAGTAGAGTTAAATATGTTTTTAGTTCTTAAATTATTGGTCGTTTCTGGTTTTCGTCCCTCTTTTTAAATAAGGTACAATTTGGTTATCATTCTTTTCGAAACTCTAGTTTTAGTTCTCGAAACTTTGGTTTTAGTCCTCAAAAACTAATCTCGAAAACTATCATATTTTTAACTGTGTTAGTTTTCGAGGACTAAAACCAAAATATCTTATTTTGAAAGAGGGACGAAAACCAGAAACGATCAATAGTTTAGGGACTAAAAACATATTTTAACCTTTTTAAATATTCTGATATGATAGTTCTGATGTGTTTTCAGGATCCAAAGACAAAAAATTGGTGGATAAGTGCAGGAAATGTAAACATTGGATATTATCCAGCAGCATTGTTCACGAACTTGGGATCGGCATCGATTGTTGGATGGGGTGGGAGAACACAAGCTAAGGTTGGAAGTCCTAGTCCTCCAATGGGATCTGGGCATTTTCCTGATGGAAAGAAAGACCATGCATGTTATTTTAGATCTCCCATGGTTCAAGACGCATCGAGAGAAATTTATAGACCTGAATCTATTATGACCAGAGCCTTTTCTGACAACACCAAATGTTATGATGTTTATTACTATAAAGATCATGGAGGGGTTTATGATGAAGGTGTTATTCAGTTTGGAGGGCCCGGAGACAAATGTGGAACTTAATTTTCTTTATAATTATATTTTATATGAAGTCAAAAATAATCATCTTTTCTTATTTGTCTTTTTCTATATTTTTTTTCCCTTGTCTTGCTAATCTTCACAATAGTCTCCTTTTTTCCAACTAAAGTTGGACCACTTGTTTTTTGTTAAATAAATTTTTTTATCATAATATCGGTATGAATTATTACTGTTAAAACTTGAAATTGGAGTTTGTTTTTTTATTAAACTTGATATAATTTAGGTTTTAAATTTTAAAAAATAATAATATAGTTTTTTTTAATTTTGTTAAATTTTTTCCACATGATAAAGTCTATTAAAACTGATATCTAAGTTAAAAATATGTCAAATCATATATAAACATGATAAATCTCAATCCAAACTGTAAAAAAAATTAAGAAATTTGGGTTAAGAGGATATTCATTTATTATTAAAATTAATAATGTACTAAAGTGTTAACAAAATTTCATACAACTAAAAATATATCTAGTTCAAAAATTATTAACAATGATTAAAGTGTTAAGTTAAAAAAATTAAGAATAATATCAATATATTAGTAAAATGGAATACAATTAACTGATATTTTTTATAAATAAAAAGGAGGTAGTAGCTGACAATGCTAGAATTAAGAAAATTATTTAAGAAATTTTTATTTAAATATTTGTAAATGTTTTGTTTAACAGTTTGTATAAGAATCATATTGATATAAAACTGTAAATTAATTTATTAAGTTTATTATATATTCACATATTTGTAAAACTAGGTACAGATAATTTAATTTATGATACGTGGATATAAAACTTGCAAATTAATTTGTATAAACTGTAAAATGTACTAATGAAAGACATGAATGTGTTAGCAAACCTATATATATAATGGAGTATTTTTTTTCTGATTTTAAGTTAAAATTTACATTCTTTTGTAAGTTAGAGAATTTATATTTGGTGAAGGAGATAAGTTCGTTATCTCGTATCTATTTTTAAAGATAAAATATACATCATAATCTCTATTCTTAAATCCAATAATATCCAATATGTGTAATTTTATTCTCATTTTCATTCTCACCAAACAGTGTCAGAATCCTTAAAAGTTCTGTGTGAGTGGAAGCCATAGTGAAAATCAGAAAGTGAAAGACAGGTATGGACAGTTGAGTAGCCGATCAGTTTTTGACGGTGGTGTAAAACTCAAACTTTCAAATTTCGTGTCACTTTTTCTACATGCACCCTTCATCTTCAACCTTCTGAGTTTTCATTTTCTCCTTATTCTCTCTACAATTTTCTTCATCTCTCTACAAAATCTTAGCCTTTTCTTCTTCCGATCATCATTCAGGCAGCGCCTGAGTTCTCCTGGTGGCAAGGGCTTCACTTTGCACCGATCAAGTAAATAGTTTGAAAGGTAAGTTCATTCTCTTTTAGAACGGTTGTTTCTGGCACATGCAAGCCAAGTTTCTAGTTGCATGAGTTTATCATTTTCCTCTACGAAATTCTGATAGCAATTCTGGTCTTTTACTTGGTTCAGTTTCGTAATCGGTGAACTCTAAGTGTATAAGATTGGTAGTGGTGAGGCGTATTGTAAGGACTTGGACTTGAGTCAGCAAAAAGGGGATGACAAGTGGCAAAGGATGAGAGGTTGAGTACTTTAAAATAAAATTACATTAGTTTGGAAACAGTGGGTTTTAACTCATTCCTCTTGTCTGAGAAACCATTCCCCTTCCAGCAAGCTCTCTCCTCCTCCTACATCTTCTCCCTTTCCATCATTCACACTGAACCATTAAAATCTTGATTAGGTGCTGCCCCAACGATCACAAAGTAGCGGGTGTTGCTCTTAGTCGATCAATTTTCCAAAATCTGAACCGGTAAGAAAACCCCCTTTCTCATGTGCCCTAGGGTTGTAAGCATGTGATTGAACTTGGTGCATGCAACCCATTTCGTTTTCTTCCATAATCTAGCTTCTATTTGGTGCTAAGATTCGTTTTCTATCATCAATTGATGATTTATAGGTGATTCTAACCTTTTGAAAGTGCAAGCAAGTGGTCTAGGGTTACTACTTGAGCTTGGTTGTCTACACTAGAGGTAAGGGGAGCTAGTTCTCTTTTTGATTTTACTGTATGACGTGATTACATAATGATTTTCAAATTGGTATGTTGTTGGAAGCATAATTTTGAATTTTGCTAACTTGAAATGCATGTATGAAAGTGTGAGTGCTACGTGAATGTGGTGATTGATGGATGTGAACTGTTTGGGATGATTTTGAGTGATGAATTATGTATGTTGGAACTGTTTTGGTGTGTAAAATTTGTTATGGTGTTGATAGGAAGGAAAATCAAGTGTCTTAGGGTCACTTTTTGGTCATTTTAGAGGAAGTGAGGTAGGGATTTTGAGTAAATGAAGGCTGCAGTGTTCCTGGACTGTTTGGGCAGCCTAGACAAGTCCATTGTGACTTGTTAGAAGCATAACAGTAGTTGAAAACAGGTTCCAAGTAGTGGAATCGAATTTGGGTCCCTAAGTTGTTGAAATTAGTGTTTTGGATGCTGAAAGTGAACTTTAATCACTTAAAAATGGTGGTAGAAATGTTTAGAATCATTTGGATAAGTTTAATTAAGTCTAAAATGAGAATTAAGAGTCTAAGAAGTTGGGAAAAGTGGTTAGAAATGGTTAAGGGAGGTTCTGTTACCATTCTGCAGAGTTCTGAGAATTCTGCAGAATTAAATTCTGCAGAACGCGCAAACTGAGCGTTCGTCCATGGCGGAGCTGAACGCTCGGCCATGCATGTGCTGAGTGACGTTCGGTCAAATGTTGGTTGGATGAACGTTCGGTCTTAGGAGATGATAGTAATAGCGTTCGTCCATGGGAATGTGTTAGTGATTAGCGTTCGTCCTTGTCTGGGGACGTTCGGTCAAAGGTTGGAGTGATTAGCGTTCGTCCTTGTCTGGGGACGTTCGGTCAAA